GTTTTGTGGGTTCTTTTGAACTTAAATTTCATATAATAGTAATCTATATTATCCAGCTAAAGAAAACAGAAGCATTTTTAATGATAGTCCCCGTATTTTCATGTCACAATTGCCAAAATATAATACTTTTCATAAAATACCCCCAGCAACATAACGTTATTAGTTAAAGTTAGTACTTAAGTTCACCTTTTATGGCTGTGAATGCCATTTATACTAAAGTTTACTATGTAGCTAATCTGGGCCTTATTATCCTATGTCTGGGCCTTATTATTATGTCTGACGAATTTAAGAGTTGTGATGGTCTCTTGTTTGACTAGTTACATTTGGATTTGGTTACATTTACATTGGATCATATCAAATTTTTTTATTTGTATTTTATTTTAAAACACTTTTTCTTGTGTTTTTGGTTTACTATATACCCCACAATCAAACCTTAATCAAACCCATCTAGCGAGCATGTGCCGTTAAAAGACACTAACCAGTTAATATACTTAATTATTCTGCATTCCTTCGAGGGAGAATCAATTTAAAATTTGCAGACAGACAATGTCGAGTTAATGCACATTAATCCACATAAACTATCATTATTCTTTGGTACAGTCCTTCGAAGGAGTGTGAATTGAAAATTGATAGATTGAAACTATTCAGTTAATGTGGCTATCATTATTCTGCAGTCCTTCAAGAGAGAATCAATTTAAAATTAATAAATTGAAAGTATTCAGTTAATGTGCCTATCATTATTCTGCAGTCCTTCAAGAGAGAATCAATTTAAAATTAATAAATTGAAAGTATTCAGTTAACGCACCTACCTACCATTATTCTGCAGTCCTTCACAGGAGTGTGAATTCAAAATTAATAAAGTGAAAGTATTCAGTTAATATACCTATCATTACTCTGCGTTTCTTTGAATGAGAGTGAATCCAAAATTGGTAGACAGATAGTGTGAGAGTGTGGTTTAGAGATATTAAACGGATTAATTAAAAATTTTGAATGTTTTTTGCATATGATGGTGAAAGAAGATATCTTAAATAAGCGATAAGACTTTTTCGATTCAAATCAAATAATATTGATGGGTTAATCTATTGTTGATGAAGTGTTCGAAAATTAAATTGTTAACATATAACACTTTTTTTAATGTATTAATTCATCAAATGATATATAATTGCGATCAAAGCTCAACCTTTAATAAAAGTTCTATAATAATTAAGATACTTAACGAGATTTAGTTTGAAAGTTCACTGTAATTATAGGTCGTGCTAAGTTTATAACGTTGCAAAATTCCGTCGATTAAGTACCGGTTGTACGATGAAGTTAATAAACAAATAACTAACTATTTATTTAAGCTTAAGTGCCGGTTGAAGCATTCAGAATATTAGCACAAATTATTGCATTTTACATAAACAATTAATCTTTTTTATTAATTGTAAAATGCTTTATCAGTACGTTGATATGGCGTGAAATATACATATTTTCTGATTCGCAAAATAGCAAAATATATATAATGCACAAAATACCTTTACGTACCGTTCTCCGCACTCGCGGTCTCTGAACACTGCTTGAGATCTCATATATAAAAAGTTAAAATAGCAGATATTTCTTACTCTTAATTGAGCACTATTTTAATTTAATTCAGTCGTAATGGAGAGGTGCGAAGACTATTTGCTAACACATTATGTATATGTAATTTACATACAGAAGTAGTTATTAAAGATAATTTCAATAATTTCTATGCATGAATTCTTTGTAATGAGCGAGTGCAATTGTTGTTGGTGTTTGCGCATTTATTACAATTCGTACACTGATCATTTAATCAATTGATAGCGTCAACGTTACCACGTTACCGTCTCCAGCACCGCCTATAAACTTCACAGACGCTACTTAGTCAAATCGAATAATTTAACTGGCAATTATTAGTTAGCTACAGACCTCTGCGGATCGTCAAACACGCCCGAGCGATTGAATAGGCTGGAAGCAACTGAACTCAGCGTATAAACAAAACAAATGTGTGGAACTAATTTCTTCTTGGTTTTGTTTTGCTTATTTTATTTGCAACAATTCATTTTGATTAGATTGCTCCATTCATACAAAAAATGCGTCGCGACTATCAAGAGTAAGTGGAGAAATCTACAGACAAAAGCTACAAAATAACAGTTTGTATTACAGAGCGGGACAACATTTAGTCGCGGAAAAGTTTCGCTGTCAAGTTCTCACTTTCCAACTGCACTTCACATGGGTTTAGTTAACATAAGTTAGCCGTCAAAAGTTCGGGCTTCTCTACAGTCTTGCTCTATATGGTATACAGAAAGTCTTATGTAGAAAAAACAAAAAGTAACTAATATTAAGTTTGCCATTGTAGCAAACTACTTGTATATACGAATCGATTCATTTAAGAAAAATCGGTTTATTTTTAATTAAATTAAGATACGTAACTCTTTCATATAATAACTTGCTCATCTGTTTCCTTCTTTTTCTTTCTTTTGCTCAATAGTGTCTGTGACCACTTGTGTGATCCACAGTAACCAGAGACACTAGAGAATTATGATAATGAGTTATTTAGATGATATTAGAGTAGATTCAAATAAAGTAAATTTTAAAGATGGGCTTAGCCAAAGAAGGTATATGGGCGGAATTCTCCCTCTAAATATGTACCAGAGGAAATATTTGAGAATGGAAAAAAGAACAATGGTGTGATGCATCCTAGTCCACTCTAAAATCGAATAATTGATGGCAAAGACATGAACAATTTTTAATACAGACAATTATTATATTTATTAAGATATGTTTCAAAAGTACATACAATTAAAAACTGATTGCATATCTAAGAACTTAGTCTATCTACAAAACGTTTTTAATTGTCGCTTTCCCGTGCCATATATCTAAGCTTGTTAAACGATTTTAATGTTTTGGTGAGTGTTGTTCACCTTTATGTCGTCTTTGGATGTTCTCTTCTTCTTTATCCAGCAGGGTTCCATTCTAAGGCAAAAAGATCTATCTATACTGCGCATATTTTTTCTTAAGGTCTAATAAAGCCTACATATAAATGTTGGAGAAAAAAATTGAATGTGTAAACTCTTTCACCCACATGGGAAGCATTGAGACAAGTAGAAGCGGAGCTGATAAAGATGTTGATGCTCGGTGAGTGCTGTTCACCTTTTTGTCGTCTTTGGATGTCCTCTTCTTCTTTATCCAGCAGGGTTCCATTCTAAAGCAGAAAGATCTATACTGCGCATATTTTTTCTAAAGGTCTGCATGTAAATATTGAAGAAAAAAATTGAATGTGTAAACCTACATGAGAAGCATTGTGACAAGTAGAAGCGGAGCTGATAAAGATGTTGATACTCGAAACAACAAAGCGAAAGCCGCGTTTGGCAAACTGAACAACATATGGCGATCCAGTGAAATCAGGAGACAGATCAAAGTTCCAATTTTCAACACAAATGTGAAATATATTTTGTAAAAGTGGATGTGGACAGGTCGTACGATTAGACAACTGAGAGATTACATAGCGAAGCAAGCGTTGGCATGGAGTCCACAAGGTAGCTAAAGACCTGATGCACCAGCGAAACATGGAGAAGAACGGTCGAAAGTAAGCTAGCTGATATGTCCGATTTAGAAGAATCGGTCCTCCTTATGCTACTCTATCATTTCATTTCACCCCATGCTAACCTATTAATTCGTCTCATAAGTTATTTAAGTTTCCTGCTTGGAACATGGATAAAAATGGCAACTTTAGGTTACTATAGTAACATAATTTAGTGTTCATGGGCTTAAATCAACAAAACTATCTCGAAAAATAAAACATAGTGTTGTAATTTTAGATTTATTTTTTATCACGGAAATTTTGAAATTTTCTGTTTCCGTTATAGCGGGTTGTATAAGCAATTGTTGACGAGTTACATTGAGGCCCGATTTCACAGTCGTAACTAAGTTTTAACATAATCAATTGTATAAATTTATTATTAACAGAAAACATTATCATGACTAAGCGTGAATATTGTTTAATAATAAAATAATATAAACAGATTATACTCTTTAATTAATTATAGAAGTTTATTGCTATAAAAATAATTTGTATTTATAACATATGTAAATATATATACATATATACTGTACATAGTATATGTACATAAAGCTATATACATAAATCAAATAATATAGTTTACAATACGAAACATGCTTATTCATTAACACATAAAATACATTGAATTAGAACAACCTTATAAAACTTTAATAATGACCATTATTAATTAAATATCACGAATTGAACTCTACAGAAGTAATTTAAATATAAACAACATTTGTAAATTTTATATATAATTACGAAAAATAAAAACTACACATAACCGTTTTGAAATGAATTGGACAGCCTAAACTTGATACATATATATATATATATATATAAATATGTAAATATACATAAACTTTGGCACACAAATAAAAATGATTAACAATTTCTATATATAATAATGTTAGTACATATAGAGCACAGCTTAGTTCTGAAGTAAATTCTGCAGTGAATAATATTTTTTAAAATTAAACAAATCTTAATTATATATATTTCAGTTTAGAAACTTCTATTTAAATTTAATTTTATATATTTTTAATACATACATTTTTTTAAATTTATATTTTTTATATATACTTCACATAATCATTTCAAATATTTGATTTTTATAATTATAAAAATCTATATATGTATCTTTAACTGTATTTAACTGAGACTGATATGTTTGCAAAAAGTTATTTATTATTAAATAAGCTTTATGAAAACGAATACTTTAATTAATTAAAAATTTTATATATTGATCCGATAGAATATATATATATTGATTATATACATACAGTTTTTATTTAAATTAATATTTTACCTCCTCAATACAGTTAAAATTATTCAAACTTAACGGAATGTTTTACATATTATAAAAATATAACATACATATATATATATATATATATAAATATATATATATATTAAAATATATAAACATACATATATTTAATTGTGTGCTCTCATGCGTGTACCAAGATCAAAAAATAGTTATTATGTGCTTATTGTGCAAACATACGAATAGTAATCAAAAGATTACTAACCATTCAAACAGACACACACTCGCCACTTAAGCTTTAGCATTCTTTTTCATATATAATTAATTATAATTATAGTTATATATAATATTTATCTGAATAATCTCAAACGAAAAGACATAATATAGAATGCAAGAATTCTTAAACCTATAAAAAGCGATAATAAAAATATAACTGCAACTTCATAATTGGCATTGGCCAAATCCATGTCCTTTAGAAAGATTTTGGGGCGTGTATAATGACAATACATGCTTGAGCAATCTAATTTCGGTCGATCATAGCCGAACAGTGCTAGCATTGCACCATCAAGACTATATTTAAGAAATGAAACGTTGAACACCCATTGTAGGTAAATTGGTGAGTCTTTATGCTGTAGAAAGAAACCAGAAAATGCTAAGAATGGACATATGAAAAATGGTCCCAGTATAGCACCAAGCTAAAATAAAAACAAAAAAATATTAATAAATTTTTATTTAGAAAATTATTAAAATTAATTTACAAACCTGTACACTTAATGATGCGCCAACTGTTAAGCCAATACTTTGACCCACTAATGCTGTTAGAAACACTATTAAACTAAATAAGCCCAAACGTAAAAATTCGAATGGTTGATCAGTTAAAAAATAAGTGGTTCCAATAAAAAGACCAGTACATATCATTTGTATGGGTATATCAGCTAATGTTATAGCCACGTAATAGGCACGCAGCGAATACCAACGATTAAAATGCTCACGTGACACAATCGGAAACTCTAATGGAACTGAAAATTTCAAATAGAATAGATATATTATAATTACTTTTTAAAAATAACTATATATGTACGTATATAAAAAAATATATATATAATATATTAAATTTATGTTGCAATAAAAAAAAACTATTCATAATTTATCCTTAAGTAAGAATCTGTGGTGCTAAGATCAGCTTTATAATTCTCGATCTAACTACTTATAATATATATAGTGGTTCTTCGCTATTCTAAATCTTAGGTAATTCAGATTCCCTCGTAAATAAAACTAGCTTGACTCAAGATGAATGAATGATTCCAAGTACTGCCGGGTTTACATCTCAGAACCACTCGTCAACCATGACGACCAAGTACCGTTCGTTACCCTTTAAAGGAATTTTACAAGCAGATCCCAGCGGGTTACAGCAACAACAGCAAGATTTTAACTAACCTAATCATTTTATTGGGACTAAACTAAAAATCAATAGGGCTTAAATGATTGATCATAGATTAAATCGTTTATACACAATAATCAAGTTTCGCTTACTCTTTCTCATGTTACAATGAACACAAAATCATAGAACTAGTAACGTGGTACTATTCATAGACTATACGGACTTAATATATGAGACTAGTGAAGGTGTGTACGAAGAGACATGCTGCGTCAGGTCGAACATGGTAAGTAAGTAAGTAAGGTCTTAGAGTGTTATAGTGGCCTCCCATAAGGTAAATCTGAATTTCAATTTTGTTATCTGCGGAAGCATAAAAGAATTTTCACCTAAATATGTTTACGGTTGATCAATAATAAAACTAAAGGAACTAATTACTTCTTATTAAGAAAACTAAGTATTAAATTTCTGTTTAATGATTTGGATGAATCGAAGTGTAGTATTTGCGTCTATAAGTAACTGTCAATAGATGGCCTCACTTTAAACATCTAAATCCTATTTAAAATCCTATTTTCTTTAGACCTCAGACCCCAATTTATAAAACACAATAAAATATAACTATTAAGTGAATTTAAATAAATTTAATAAAAAAAAGCATAATTTAAATGTCAGAGTAATGAATTCCAGTTCTTACATTTGACTAGTATCGACGAGAAAGCGCAAAACATGATAAACATGATTGTGTAGAAAGCATAACGAAAATTGTTTAAAGCGTTTCCAGCATCATTTCCAATGCCATAGTAGAGAAATCCGATTAGCAATGCCGTGACGAAATGTATGATGAAACGCATTGTAGTCAACGATTGATCACGCCATAATATTAGAAATGTGCGGACCAAAAGTATGCTTAGTTGGCGATAAAATGGTGTAGCATATATATTTTCGCGTTTACATAACTTTCCGGGATCAATTTGCAATTTTGGTTTCTTCGGTTTATAACCATTGCTATCCGATTGTTGAGGTTGTGGTTGTTCTTTGGTAATTTGACCATTTTCGCCTAATTGATTTCGACTGTCCCAAATTCGGGATGACATTTCATTAATAGGCGTCAATTGTTTGACTCGTATCGATGGATCTTTACAATAATTATGATTTGGAGTACGTGTTAAGTCGGGTGACAAAACAGGAGCTGTTACTGGTGTCATCGAAGCAGATGCCATCATTTTATCTGTAATAAAAGAAAACTATTAATTTTTACACAATATTAATATGCTATTTCATTAATTTTTTAAAAGGTTATCAAGTAGGATATATGGTACATATATTTGGTCAAAACTATCGAAAGACTCGTTTTCTCACATAATATACACAACAATACTGAATCATCTCAGATGTTCAATTACAATAAAAGTCTAAGAACCAGTTAAGATAACTGGGATTAGCACAATCGAACACTCAGTCCGCGGTGCATACTATTCCTCATATGAACAACCAATGTACAGTTCCAAATCGTTGCCATTAGAACTTTGAGTATTAAATCTACACAATGAAGCTGCATCGAAATCATTAGACCATATTAAGATATATTATACAAACTAAATTGTAATAATGTACATGTAGAAGAAATTAATTAACGAGCACATTTAACTCCGTTGACGATTTTGAAATTGTTGTAGTTCCAGATATAACTGATCAACGAAAATGGTAAACGACAACTGATCGTAAAATTATGATCATGAAACGTAAAATCGGCCGCTCTTGAAATAGAAAAGTAAAGAAAATTATCGTCGCTGTTTTTCGTCAATGTCATCGGTAGAATATTTATTTATTTTGTTGGAAAATGTTATAGGATCCTAACTATAGACATATATTGTTGCGTAATAGGCTGCTTACTTTATGACCACGGCCTCTTTTGAAGCACTTAATACTTTGGACATGTCTGTCACACAGATATGTGTGGACTAAATAAGGAATTGCAATGAAATGTATACATTCTTGAAACCTACAGCATATTATTTATACTAACACTTACGACCGATTTTATATGCGTAGGCTAAAGCCTAATAACTAATTAAAAATGATACTTAAGTCATCAACTTTGGTTACTTAAAATATAATTAAATTGCGATTATAACTACTCGGTGCTTCAAATTTAACCGCCTTAAAAAGCTACTCGTACTTGCTGTGATAGCTCAATATAGACGTTCTTATATGTATTTATTTCATCCAAAAAGATAGAGAGAGAGAGAGAGAGAGAGATGTTGGAGTTCTTTACTTTAAAAAAGTTTCATAACATTTTCTGATAGCACATGCAATTTCTTAAGTTCAAGCATCGGGGATAACATTGCTAGAGAGATACTGTTGCATAAAAGGCAACTATGGCTCCACGTCAGTTAATGTTGTTATTATAGTTTAAGGATGATAAAAGGATGTAAAGGGGTGTAAAGTAGAAGCAGGAAAAGAGATAGGTGGAAATATGGAATTCAACTCGGTTTCACATATCGCTCCTCCTATTGTACCGGAGACAGATAATGTTCCAAGAACGGCCGGATCTACGTACCAGAGCCACTCGTCAACCACGACGACCAAATGTCGTTAACCATCCCTTAAAGGGAATTTACAAACAGATAACCTATGAAGAGTTTAACAAGTGCATATATCAAACTCACAATAAGGCCAGGAAAGTTGTTGCTCCACGTGGGAGACATCTCTCATTAGCAGAGGTTTCAGGCAGAGACCTATTGATTATCTGTTAATTAAACTGCCTAGTTAGCATAAGTAAATTTTTTTTTAATTCAGTAGAACTCGATTACAGTCGTACGAGAGATCAACAATACAGCCGGTATACTTGATTTATAGAAATATTAAGTAGCATTATTTATACTTTAATATAACATCTTTATTATGTCTTTATTTTTAAAAAAAAAGGTGATTTAGAATTTTTGAATTTCAAAAGAGACAAGCAATACTTTATGTAATGTTATAGTAATAATATGGCTAGATTTCTCTAGATTATGTAAAAATTTATGTTCTGACTAGTAGTTAGATTTAACCAACTATATTAAAAAAAAAACTTTTGTTGTTAGTTTGATTAGAACTAAAATGATTGAATCTTGCAACATAAGATAACAAAGAAGAATAAAAACAATATACGGTTTAATAAAGTTAAGATATGTATTTTTATATTTTACAATTATGTTTTGGGGAACTTACCAATTTTTTTGATAGCCTCCATTTGTGATTTCTTAGCCATTTTATTTTGTCTATAATAATCATTTTGTCCATTTTCAATTTTTTCAACTAGTTTGTCATTTTGTTTGCCATAATCATCAGTCGCTATTTCCATCACTACAAAATACAAATAATGTAATATACATACATATATAGTTTGTTACTTTTTGAGGTTTATTAGAATCTCAATCAAAATTTTTAATTTACATATTACAACGGACGGACAGACGGCATATCGTGTTTATAAACTTACAATAATCAGCAGGATTATATGATTCTGGACATTGTAAACCACATTCGGCTAAAAACGGCACCAAATTCTCTGTTCCACCAGAATATATACATCGACCTTCTGCTATAGCATATAAATGATCAAACATCTCAAAAGTTAATGCACTCGGTTGATGTATTGTACAGATAACAGTACGTCCCTCCATTGCTAATTTTTTCAATAAGGAAATGCATTGATTTGATGTTGAACTATCTAAACCACTATAATAGAAGATAGGATATTTATATTATAATAGGTTATAAAAAAAAAAATGTAAAATTACCTTGTAGGTTCATCCAATATTAGTACAGGTGGGTTGTTCACTAGTTCTAATGCAATGGCTAAACGTTTCTTTTGTCCACCAGATAAGTTACCAGTTCTAGTGTGACGATTTTCATACATGCCGATTGCTTCTAGAATTTTGCGTACCTATTCAGATTAAAGACATTAAGTAATTAATTATTATTATGTTTAATAATAAATATATTGCTTACTCTTTCTCTTTTCGCACTTTTGTTCATTTGAGCGCCAACTTTCAAATTCGCTGCAAAATGCATCGCTTCCTTCACGGTAAGAAAAGGTTGTAAACTAGTGTCTTGTGTTATAAAGGCAATATTTGGTTTGAAGGCTTTAATATCACGGAAATTTCCATTAACAGTAATATCACCACTGTAACCATACGGTCTGTAAGAAAATTAATTTAATTTTATGATTTTATTATTGTATTAATTTGAGTTATATTGAATATTTATATTATTGATATTATATAGATGGGTTAGTATGGATTAGGCTATTACTGTAATCCCGTAAGATTACCCGGTCAACCGTCGAAGATGTGGCGTAAATGCTGAACGTTCTGCCTCTACAGAAAGATAATAATTTAATATGCGATAATTTTACAAAAATATATCCAATTCAATTGTTGTAACAAAACAGGATTTAATCCTATAATAAAAAAGAAGAAGAAGACAGTAATCCAAGGCTTCCACTTCGATCCATTGGTCCATTGTGCTACCGTATTAAACTTGATGAAATTGAAAGTGTTCGAGTATTATGACATCTAAGTAGTTGTAGCTTTTTACTAAAGTTCATAAATTTATATCAACCATCAATACATTTAATGTGCTAGAATGCTCGAGGCGCTAGAGCTTTCAAATAAAAAATCTGTTCGGTATTTTGTTTATTTGGAGAAACTCGAATAATATTTGGAGCACTGAATTAACCCATTTAAAATATTCAATAAAGCCTGAAATGATTTTTAAAGGCAAGAGCTTAAATACTATATAAGGATCTCAGTCTGAGAGGGCAAATATCCTCTATAAGCATCTTAATCTGAGAGAACTCAAACCTTGAAGTAATCAGAAATCTGGAAACAATGAAAGAAGGTAGAGATTCTTTTAGCTGAACTACTAAAATACGGAGAACAAAATCATATAAATGTATAAGCTCTCAAAAGTTCCCATCTTTAGCATAACTACTTCTATCTATAAGATGGACTATAAGATAGGCCCTCATAAATATAGGACACTCTAACTGATGAATGTAGGACGGAAAATATTTATAGATTTTTTTCACATAAGAATTATAGTCTTTCTAGACGATCTTATAAGAAGTTATCAATACAGATATAAAAAATCATTAAATAACAATCAATGTTCCACAATGTGATAAATATATAGAATGTCAAATCAATACAACAAAGACCGCTCGTCTACATATTTAAGGACCTTCAACAGACATTTAAAAATCTTGATCGCTCTTAAATTGAGCCTATCTGCATAAAAAATTTAATTAGAATACATAAAAGGATACATATAGTCGCTGATATACCAATATACCGAGCACTTTCCCCTAACCGATATGCTGACCACAGAACTGTTAAGAAAAATAAATTTTATATTTTTTTTATTTATTTATGGTATAGTCTTTGTTAGGATTAACAAATTTCATTTTGATTTTTAATCTCACTTTTTATATTTTATTTATTTATGTGATTTGAACTTAAAACAATTAGCTCTTGAATAAAATTAATAAAATTATATTTTCATTTTCATTACACATGATTATGTATTATTGTATTTCTTACGTGTATGCAGAGAGAATATTCAGTAAAGTGCTTTTGCCTGCACCAGAAGGACCCACAATAGCACTTAATTCGCCGTTTCGAAATTCTCCTGTGAGACCATTAAGAATATCTTTGTTTTCTGAAATAAAAAGAAAAGCATGGATTAGTTAAAAGTTAAAAATATTGTAATGTACAAAACAAAATATTGCATTTAATTTATTAAATGAAATAGTTTATAATAATAAATTGCAAAATTTTATATTTAATATTTAGGTATTTTAAACATAGTAAATTACAACAACGAAACTTTTTAATATATTGATTAATAAAGCTTTTGACTAACCAAAATTTCACAATAAATTAACAAAACCTCAAGTTAGATCATACAAGTTAAGTACGGTTTTGGGTCAGTTGGATAATTAACATTGACTCTGAGCCCAAAATTTGGCAGGGTACGAGTTCAATCCTTGACTCTAGCAGTCTTAAAAAATTATTTACGAATAGTCAAATACAAGGAATATGGTTCAGTTGTTTCGTCAACCAAAAATCTATTTAATTAATAAATAATAAAATTTTGTTGTTGTCAAAGCAAAGAGTCGCTTATGGATAGTATAGCATCATATAAGGACCTGGTCAGAAACTTTTTTTTACAGTCTATTGTCTTCGAAAATCCTACAACAAAACAACACAACTGCAGACGTTGAGTTAGAACCCAGAGTTGTGTTGTGTCCAGGGCATTATATTTAATTGGTTATAGTGAACTTATAAATACAAACTTCTAACCGATAAGACAATTGAATATATAGTATAACTGTTATCGAATAAGATTTGTTAAAATTTAATATCATTTTTGTACTGAGACATAACTTACAAATCAGAATTAATAACATTAAACGGGTTCTAATAATAATAAACGCTACCAATACTCTTAATGTATAAAGTGGTACCAATATTTAGTATTTATTTAGTATCATCCCACGAGAATGATTATATTCTAGAGAATGACTCTAACCGCTCTTCAGAATAGCAAAAATATTATTTTTAATAGTTTAAGTTAAAATTTAATTAATTATTATTAATTTTTTTGTTAAAAACTAGTTGTAAAATAAAAAAATAATGAAAACAAATACTTGAAGAAACCATTTTAGACCTTTCTGGACTTTATTCGATATACTATATAGTAAAGCCATTATAACTTTTTTAATTTTTAAATCGCTAATAATTACCTTTTTTGTTTGAATAATTTAAGCACACTTGCTTTATTACACGTGTGATTAACAAATTATAATATTATTAGTAATATTAGTAAATTATTAGTAAAAAAAAATGATATGTTTTAATCGCGTTTTGAAAATAAATGAGTAGTTACGATATGTGGAAGTCCATTGAAGTCATTCATACACGATTAACAAATACAGTAATTATACTATACTAATCGTCATATACACTCAAATATATTGTTAGCGTATAAACGTATATGTATATATATTTACGTACTTCTAGATAATCTTCTATCGAACAATTTAGTCAAATATTTAGTGCTTAAAATTGCAAAAAAAAATTCTATAATCGCATAAATCTTTTTATGAGTTGAACAACAACAACAACAACAATCTTTAACTATCGTAAACGACTTAGCTTTCTAATTATCAAAAAATTTACAACAATTACTGAACAATACTGAACAATCAGTTAATTATGATTTATAATGATGGAATAATAGGAAAGATCAACTCGCACCGTTCAAAATTCCATTAAATCAAATTCTAATAACAACAACAAAACAACCACAAAATTATAAAATAATAAAAATGTATAGTCAATGTATAAAGCAATAAAGTATGGCAAGGGCAGTAATTCCTAATAAAATTTTATCATCTAAATATCAAAATCAGTAAGCTGTACTAATCGACAATAAATTGTTTAAAGTTATTAAGTTATTAAATACGTAGGTAGATGTGACTAGTTTTTTGTAGAACTGTCTATAGAACCCACCAGATCGGACAACAGCACAGATGTAGCAAAACCTGTTAAATGTTGTTGAAATGATCCATTATTATATAGCCATTGTTGTTCGTGGTGACCAGTTGCGTCCATTTCAATTTTGATATTATTTTATAAATAATTATCCTCAAGTTGCCATTTGCTTCTTGGTCGATCTATATTATTAGATTTTATCTCTTCGTAGTACAAATCCTTCTTGCTACCATAAATCTTTTCTTGTACGTCCTCAACAGATTCCTATACCACCACAACTTTTATGATATTTTTCATTTATATATCTTTTTTAATACATTATTATATCTTATAAGATATATAGCCAAAACTATCAACAGAAATAATATCGATCTATATTATTAGATCTTATCTCTTCTCAGTACAAATCTTTCTTGTCAAATCTTTTCTTGTACGTTCTCAACAGATTCCTATACCACCACAACTTTTGTGATATTTTTCATTTGTATATCTTTTTTAATACATTATTATATCTTATATGATATATAGCCAAAACTATCAACAGAAATAATATCGATCTATATTATTAGATCTTATCTCTTCGTAGTACAAATCTTTCTTGTCAAATCTTTTCTTGTACGTTCTCAACAGATTCCTATACCACCACAACTTTTGTGATATTTTTCATTTGTATATCTTTTTTAATACATTATTATATCTTATATGATATATAGCCAAAACTATCAACAGAAATAATATCGATCTATATTATTAGATCTTATCTCTTCGTAGTACAAATCTTTCTTGTCAAATCTTTTCTTGTACGTTCTCAACAGATTCCTATACCACCACAACTTTTGTGATATTTTTCATTTATATATCTTTTTTAATATATTATTATATCTTATGTGATATATATAGCCAAAACTATCAACAGAAATAATTTACCGAGAATTTCAAATTGTTTATGTTCAAATTGTATAAATTAGTAGTAGTCTTCTTTAAAATCCAATCAGTTTTATAGTGTAGAACCAGTTTTATGCTAGTTATTTATATTCATAGTTAATATATTATGAATACTAATTTGAATTGTATTAATTTGGATGTATTACCATATATGGACAATTTGTGGATAATATATGAACAATGAATAGGATTAATATTTAATGGATATTAATCTGGATTTCAAAAATGGATAATATATAGATCACTAATGATAAGTACTTGGAAATACTCGAAACAGCGTTGTATGGTCCGCCGAATTTCATTAAATTAAATAAAATTGCTGTCCTTGTCTTTTCTTTGCTATTCGAATCTGTCTTTAAATAGTTTCTTTTCGTCATAAAGATATTAAACAGAAATTAGATTGATTACATTTTTTCAAAATAGATATTTTCCATTTTTACTAGTATATACTTTCTCAGTGTATTTCCATCATAATTTTTTTTTCATTTATTTTTATATCGATTATTATTAGATTAGGTTAGTATAAATTACTGTGGAATTCGATATTATTGACTAATTTATTTAGACCCTAACGTCTACAGTAACACTACTATTTAATACGGAACCTCAACTATTACCTTATGATTTGAGTCCTTAATAAAGAGCAGGTTGTTTTCAATTTTAATGCTAGATAGTTTTGTAGCAGATAATAATAATAATAATAATTTACGTTAAAGTTTAAAAATCGAGGTTATTTCCGAGGTCTCCGAGGTAACATTTTAAAGTTATCCTTAAAGTTACATAATTGCGCTCCATGTAGGAAAGACGCTTTGGAAGAAGGAATTCGATTATGTGTAGAGTTGTTTATTCTAGAAATGCCTCAATGCCAATTGTGTAGTACGTTTTAAGTGCACTTATAATGCATAATAATCCAATAAGAGCAGCAATGACAATGTTAGCGCAGAACAAAATAATTGGCGAATAAATGTTTTACTATGTTCTAAAATTTTCAAAGAAAACAATTTCTATATAAGGATTATAAGCATATTAAAGTGACCGACAGTGAGAAAGAGAAAAATTTAGAAGGAAAATAAAAATGTCATTTAAACTGTTGAAATTGAAAAAAAAGTTTTTTGCTATAGAAGATTTACTATATAAGAATTTAAATATTTAAAGAAGAGATCTGTGATCTCAAAATATTTAGATAGAAAAAATATAAGTATTAAAGTTGTTAGTCACTGGGCACTGAAATATTTAACAACACTGTTACTAGGCAAAAACAATATTTTATATATTATTTTATATATTATTTATATATATTAATATTTTATATAGATTTTATATTAAACACACCTGGTATCTAACCTATAATGTTTTGTATCTATGTGTGATATATGATCTTGATATTAGTGATACAATTCTTAATATATATTTTTTTCTATATACGGGTATATTATGCATATTTAGTATATACAAGTATACATACACGTAAATATAATCTATATATATATGCATATATAAATATAGAAATTGGAAACGTCAATTAATGAGATTAGTGTTAATAGTCATAAAAGTATTTTATACCTTATTGAGATTAGCTATAATATGTAAACGCTCTTTTCATTGCAACATTGTTGTTCCGGCATAATAAAAGGCTTTTATTTTATATGACTATAGCTTTTCGTATTCTTCGCCTTTGTTTTCGAATATTTAAACAAGAAAAAAAAAAAACAAAATATATATAAAAATAAACACAATTTCATTATTTAATAACAGTGTCATTTAAACACCTATTGGAACGCTTCAGGTTGGAAGCGGTGAGGAAGGGTATTTGCAATAATAAACCAGGTAATGTGTATTGTATAGTCCATTGGCTGGTACGCACTGACTTATTGCTATGACCAATAAAGCCATCTTATCGCTTTAGTTGATATCACCTCAGCTGTCGTAATCGTTCTTATTCTGGTATTATGGTGAATTTAAAGGTCTTTGTGAATTTTATTGTTAGCAGTTGTTGTTTTTAATCTAACCATTTGTTTTCTATATATTGAGAAACAGGTGTTTTGGCCATTTGTTCATTGTAGTACTTATAGAGTTTTTATAACAGCTATTAAAAACAGGTTCTTGGCAATAGTAAAAATAATTTTACTTCTATTTTAGCTAAGCCTGTAGGTGATAATCTTGTTGTGATATCAATTGGATAATCAATAGACCTTAATATATATGAATAATAATCTA